GCAGAAAAAAATGACTGCTGCTTCTTTAAGTCATGGGAGCTCACGTTTGCTGTGACAGCTTTCCAATTGTTAAATAAACTCTGACCATGAGCAGCTGTCAGACAGATATTGCACTACAGGCTTCAGTTAAAAGGAGCACCAGACAAGCATTTCAGCCCCTAAAGGCTCTTGTTTCATTTTTTTTAAAGACATACTTTAAAAAAAAAATAATACAATGAGATAATATGTTTCCTTAACCAAAAAAAAAAGTTGTATTCTAAACATTCTGCCAATTTTTCCCATGAGAGTTATAGGATGTGATTACGTGCATTTCTGAAAAATGGTCTATGAGGAGCATGAAGTATCTCAAACGTACACTTTCGTCTTGTGACAAGATGGGAGAATTGAGATGCAGAAATACTGACATTAGACCTTATAAATAATAATAATGGTGTTATTTAATTTCTTGTGGGAAGGCAAAAGTAATTATACTGAGCTTCCTCAGAGTTGTAGAATGCCATTTTATCATTTTGTACTTTTGATAGTAATCTAGAAAAACCCTTCTGAAGTTATTACTTTTTATTGTGTTGGACCCTGCTGTACTAGCTGTTGTACAGGCAAGGAAGTCAAGGACAGTTTCCGCTACAGAAGGTCTAATAGGTTAAGATGAATATGCAAGAAAATTGTCTTTTAAGGTAAATATACAGTCAGTACTGGAAGAAGCATTATTATTCACATTTAAGTTACAACTGGGGAGGGAAGTTGCCATTAAATTAGAACAAAGGTGGACTTCTTCCTACTCCAATTTAGAAACTGATATTGTCTAACCTAACCTGCCTAAAAGTCAAGCCTGTGGCCTAGCTGCGCTGGAGAACCTGGAGTAGGAATCAAAATTGTCCAGGGCTCCACTAGCGGCAATGTAGGAGATAGGTAGTTCAGCTTACCTGGCTGAGGATAGAATGGGTCATCTCTGGAAATGCCTTTTTCCATTGACTGAAGCAGAAGCCTAGTTCAATTGCAAATTAAAACAAAAAAAGAAAACAAAAACTAGTCTGGGTGACTAACTTCAAAAGGCAAGGTGTGGGCTAATTGTGTGGAGGCAGGAATTCTAGACAATATCTAAGAAGTATTTATTGAAAAATCAAGAATATTTTTGCAATTTAAAGAGGAAAATTATCCATATTTCATTTGCAAGTAATAGTACTAATAAGTAATTAATGTTTTTAAGGGTAATTTATTCCAAAATTTCAAGTTTAACTAACTACTATGTGTTCTCACCCTTCTAGCTTCCTTTTAAGACAGAGAGGAATATATCCAGTAAAAATACAAAGCAGTGGGAAATGAAAAAAAGTCAATTTAAAAATCAATCCTCCCTGATTTTTTCTATCAACTCCTATTAGAAATAACACCCGGAATTTTTATAACTGAAATGGATCATAAAAAAGTCTAAGTGTGTTCTATAATTTTATGCCTTTGAAAACACTTTTGGGTAATGGGTTTCATTTTTTCACCTTTCATATACCTCATTCTTTCACACAGAAAAATATAGAAAAGTATAGAAGAGAAGGTTTGGGAGCATTAAAACAACGATGGAATCAATTGTAATAGTCAATGAAAATGTAATTGGTCCCTAAATCCCAACATACATCACTTTCATGTGGCCATGTTAGAGATGTAGGATGAGAATGAGCAAAGAAATAAGGCAGTAAGAGTACTCTTGGTCATACAGTGCAAAAGGAGAAAGCAAACACAGACCATGACTCTGTTGACCTGTTGTACCTATTACCTTCTGTTGAACCTCCATAGAAAAGCATTAACACTATCCTGAAGGGGTCTACCTGTTATTTGGCTTGGAGATAGGTAGCAAAGTGACTCAAATGGTGCAGCAAACATTCATCAAAGAATGGCAAAACAGCCTGAAGATTGGTCAAATCACACAACGGGTAAGAAGTGTCAAGAAAAATCTAGAGAAAGGGCTGTTCAGTTACAGTAGATAAAAGGAGCCTTTGGACACCTGTTAAAATATTGTGTCCCTCTGGAGGTCTTTCCCTTAGCGTGCTTTGTTTTGTAAGCGTTTAATAAGATGTTAAGCCCTGCAGGAGAGAGTTCTGGTGGAGCACTGGAGGACAAACTCATGGAGTCTCCAGTCTTTTTACTCATTCTGCTACCGCTCCCCGACTTTCTCAGGATTTGGGAAGAGAGTGGGGGATACACCAAGTTAAGAGGTAGGCCCATTTTGAGGTAAATCCTCTTTTCATGCCACGATATGGAGGGGCTACCTCTGGAAATGGCATATCAGTAAGGCTTCCATTGAAGACACTTGCTCAAGACTTTCTTTCAATATGCACTCCTATAGTTCCCAATTAAAAGGTTCTATTGTTAGTGAAGAGGTTTACTCTGACTAATTTATTAGCAGTTTATTACAATCAGATATGAGATGACTGAATTCTTAACAAGTGTTCTAGTACCCATCAGTCCTTTTTAAGTGCCAAAGGGTTTGTCCCAGTAAGCATTTTTTACATAACGTGTTACACCTTTTTTTTACAACTTTCACAATTTTCTGTGCATCCTTTTTCCTCGTGGAGAATCCAGTGAGTATTTTATATGGTGGAACTCATCCTGTCAAGACTTTAGAACTATTCTATTCAGAAGCATTGATTTTACAGTCTTTTAAAAGAGTTTTTTAAAGCTTGGCCCAAATTAGAAAAAATACCTGCAAGTAAAAGAAATTGTTCATGGAAATCTAGATAATCACAGCCTGTGTGATAAGGTCTCCTCTAGCATTATTGATTTGGCATACATAGTCGTTCAATCAATATAGTCTTCTTCCCAAAATTTTGGGATTATAACAGCATTCTGCCATCTAGAGTAGAAGTCAGTCTTCATCGAGTGCACTGAGAAGATTTTAAAGGGTAGAGAGTCTTCTGAAAGCTTCTAGTCCCTGGGAACTAGATCAGTAAAAATTGTTCAGTGATGAATGAGAATAGTGAAATAATTTTAGTCTAAAACTTTTTCATGACTTTTTAATTCAGGGTGTTTTAAGATGTAATTTTTGTATGTCTGAAACACCTGGAATCCAGTGAGGAAATAATGGAAATGCTGTACAGAGTGAAATCGCCGTTCTTTATCCAAAGATTTGGAAGGGAAAAATAAAGATATGACATAATAGAAAATAAAGGATATGACACAATGGAAAATAAAGGATATGACAAAATAAATTAGAGTGTCAAACAAGCCAGGCCAGGGGCTGGAGGGAGGATGAAAACAGTAGTATCATGGGCAGAAGCTATCGTTAATGAGAAACCATGGTTAACACTTGCTAGTTCAATTTCTGCTACAGATTTTTCATGAAGGCCTCAAAGACACTTTGAGCTAAACCTTCAAAAAGTTCTTGTTTACTGTGTCAGAGTATTCCGCTTGTGTGAAATCGGATTCAAATAGGATGCATGAGAGACAGTGTATTGTTTGGGGAGTGACCCATTATTGATTGAGAAGAGGGATTTGTCTTAAATCTGGCACATTTGTAAAACTCGGTACCTTCCTGTCTAGGTAGTTCCTATTCCTACCTGTGCACATGTTATTTTGGGCTGCCAGAATGGTCCTTTGTGTTAGATGTCACAGCGCTAAAACTTTTGTGTTTGGATGACTAATCGCTTTCTTCTAAAGCATGAGGAAGGATCCTTTAATAAAAGTAGCCAAGTTGCAACTCCTTAATAGGGATTGTACCCTTTTAAGATATTGATTATGGTTTAACAAAAAATGTATTAATGACCATGGAAAGAAGGAGTAAAATCAGTTCTCCACATTCTTTCTTAGTCTTCTAAATTTTCCATATTGCAGCAAAAATGGAGTCCCTCTTTTCCTGTCTTTCCTACTTTCATGAATAATCTAAGCAGTCATTCCTTGGGTATCAGATTAAGGATAGGAAATGGCTGGAATAAATATATGTATCTGTTCCAGGTTTCAGAGCAGAGAGCTGTGGTAATGACAGGGATGATAGGATAGATGAGTTGGAGATCAAACTTTCTGGCTAGGCAAGCGACACAATCTTCTGAACATGGACCTCACTGGAATAAACTTGTACTATGGCTCCTTTCCTGTTACAAAACATGACATGGCACGAACCCTAAAACCTGTATTGGTTCCAGTGCTTTTCCAAAGAGTCAGGTTTACTGGGCACAGGGAACCGAGCATGCACAGCAGCAAATCACTGCCTGCTCCCTAGTGAAAAACAGCAGCCAGGAGCGGGCATGTGTTGCCAAAACAGCTTGTGCCATCTATGTCTGCTGCTGCTTGTCCCACTGCTACTTCCCTGGAGTGTCTGGAGAGGGGCTACAGGCCAGAAGATTTATCCTGGTTTGTCAGCCTGCTCCCAGTTGCTCTTTTAATCTGCCTGTGCTGTCTGTTGGGAGAGGGACCTCAAGGCCCTCGGGAAAGGAAGAGTTGCTGGGAGTGAGCTGCAGGTCAGGCAGGTTGTCCTGGCAGGCAGTGTACCAGCTCTGTTGCAGTGATGTTTGCTATAGGTAGTAATAGATACGATAGCATGCTTGGTTTACAGCTGACTTAGTGTATGAGAAGAATCAGGTCATCAAGGCTGGGTAGAGGCTCTACTGAAAAAAAAAAAAAAAAAAAAGAAGGTAAGTTAGGCTCTGTCACATTTAGAAACAGACCTCGGTACCTGTCAACAAAAGGTAGCTACAGTGATATACTTGCTGGAGAAGACTGTGTCTGTCCTGGAGAACACCAGGCAAACTCCAGCTGATGACAAGTAAAAGAAAGAAAAAAGCAAGTGACTTTTAGATTTGAGTCAGTGAAAGAGAACACCATCAGAGTGTAGTTTGAATATTTTGGTCCGTTCCAAGGTTATTATTTTTTAGCAAAGACAAGTCTTGTACATTTTGTATTCAATTTTATCAACATATTCTGACTTTTTTCCCTTTTCTTGTGCTATATAATTGTACGGAAGTTTCATTTGCCAGGGATCTGATTGGATGTCTCTCTCTTCTTTTTGGTTTCTGTAGGATAAAATCATGGGTAGATAAGATGCAAGAAGATCTTGTAACATTAGCACGAACTGCAAGCGGAGTGGACCAGCTTGCTGCGGTGAGTAAGAAGCACCTTAGACTGCAATAACTAGAAAGTAAAGTGAATGGTGTGCCTCATGTAGGCATTACAATCATTTCATCGCAACATAGTAAAAAGATTTTGGGGAATTAAACTCTGCAGTGCTTACTGAGAGACAAATGAATAACATAGACATCTATCAATTCAATCTTTTAATGTTGCAGCAGTTGCTCATTGCTAATATTTAATCAGCTTTGCAGTATCAGACATAAGGCTTACCATTGTTGCAACACTTCCACCTGAAGCAAGTGCTTTTATGTTATATGTTTGTCAAATACGGTATCCAGGAAGCAGCTGTTCACGGCAGTGGAGAATTCTGCTCTCTGTTAACAAGGGAGACTATTTTTCTGACACACATTTCCTGAAAAGAAGCAGCTTTTGGTTAGAAGAAACATAGATGAGAATGAAAACTACTTTTGTTCAGCTGTTCCAATTTAACCCAAAGTGTTTTAGGGAAGAATTTACAATTCTTCTGTCATTGAGAAGAAACTTTTGTGCTATATTCCATTCATAGAAGGTAAAAACACATCTGAGATGCCAGAAAAATGAAGTCACAATTCAGAAAATGTCAGGATTACGCTGCCTATACAACTTTGTGTGTATACATCATGATCCAGCATACAACCACATGATCAGACATTTCCTTCTCCCTATCCCTGCACAAATCTCATGGCTCCTTCTGTGAACTGATGGATCTCTGGGTTGATGTAGGACTGTATAATGAAGGGAAATTTTGCTGTTCGGTCAGGAAGAGAAGTTATTCTGTCAGCCAACAAAAGCCCTTGGTGCTGGGGAAGTGAACATGAAGATGTGAGATTTGTTTTTCAGAAGTCATAATCTCCCAAAATGATCCATGAAATGAGTAGTAGCTGTGTTTCAAAGCCATGAAGAAACACACAGAAAAGTCAGGTGTGAAGTTTCTCAGATTTAACACTGTATATTAATGTATTCCTTTGACCTTAATGACTTTTTACCTAGACTTCCACATTTCTCATGTGAATGTTCTCCTAGAAGGACATTTTCTCTTTACTGACTATAAGTGGAGGCTAGATGACTTGTTCGGATGTCCATGTATACACTGTGGAAGCTTCAGTTTAGATGAGATCACCACTGTCCTATAGAAGGAAAGGCTGTGTCACTGGATGTACATGAGGAACATAAATGAAGATTGCAGAGATTATTTTAGTTCTGGCCTTTTTTGGAGTGCTTCGTATTGCAACACAATTTAAGGCAGATGCTTTAGATGCACTTTTTAATCTTGGAAACCCCCTGACAAACTGAAAATGAAATCTTGAAATCCTAACACAAAGTATCAGGTCGATACACACATGGGTTTCCAATATAGAATCTCAACAACACAGGAATGTCTATCATTTGAGCTTTCTGAGGAACTGTAAGGTTTACCTAGCATGGAACACCAATTCAGCTGAATTCCAATTCAGCACCTCTCTCTGGACTCTTTAGTCCAGAGCATTAGCATTTCCCAAACATTCTGTCCAGGTGTGTGTAGCCAGCCTGTCCCAATACTCCTATTGCATCTCTTCTCTTCATCAAGTGTTTTTCCTCCCCCTTCTCACCTTTCCCTCTATCACTAGTTTTCAGTCCCAGACCTGTAGTTCTCTCCTGTATGCTTTTTCTATTTCTCCTCCCTTTCCTGTCTCTTCTCTCCTTATTCTTTGCCTGCCACTTTTCAGTCTGTTATCTCCTACTTCCATATCCCAATCTCTTGCCCTTTCTTCATTCAGTTTTCATCTCCTCTTTCTCCCACTGCTTAGACCACAAATGTGTAGAGATCACCTGAGAGATCAGAGCACGTCTGAGCTTTAGCTCATCACACTGTAGGAGTGATGCTGTCTGGGTTGGGATACACCTGTGTGTAGGTTCTCAGGGATTTAGCTGATAAAATCTCTGCAGTGACCTGCAGATGCTTTTCAGGCTAAAATTTGTTAAACAACAAGGAGTAAAAAGCGTATCTTTGAATCTACAGTGCAGGGGCAATAGAGTATTTCAAAGGGAAATGAGTTACAGAGGATTTCTGACTTGAGCAAAACAATGACTTAATGTCTCAACCATTTTGCCTGGCATTTCCATGCAAAGACCACATAGTAAAATAGATAATGAAAAACCAAGAGATTGATGCTGTCACTCTTTTTTTGCCTGAGAAAAATGTTAGTTTATGTAGTTAATATTCGGCAAACTTACAAGCTGCTAAAACAGTCTGATAATGAGAACTGCTGGGCAAACATAATACTATGTAGTGCTACCAGCTATACTTAAAGTATACTACAGTGACATTCATGCTGAGAAAAAAATGTTAGTCTGTGAATACTGTAGGTAAGTTTCTTTTTGAAAGCCAAAATTTATAGCACACTTCAAGCAAACAGTAAGTTATCTCAGAGGGTATCCACAAGGTGATCAATATGTGCTTGTAATCCTAGGATTAAAAACATGAAAGGGGGATGTTTCCATGTAAAATATCCCTTTATATCAAAGCTGTTTGTTTGACCTAAATTGCATGTTTTTCTCTAGCCACAAGATTTTAATTAGGTCTCTTGCCTGCAAGGGAGCATGCAAAGTCCTGCAAGGTGTGAGCCATGCAGCCTCTCCCTCTTTCCTCTTGTTTACAGGCTATTGTCACTTTCCCATTTTTTAATTACATCATTTTTCTTTTCTGCTTTCTGCCTGTTAATGTTTAGCCAGATCTCTTCTGAAACAAACCACAGTCTTGGAAACATGGAGATTACAAGACATTAAAAACAGCATGCTTGCATGCCTGTCACTTTTATTCACAGAACTTGCCTTCAGTTGCCCAAGCTTTAAAAATACTTAACAGCCAGACTGAATTTTCAGCTTTGATTCTGACTTATTACTTCTTCTAACTCCACAATTGTTTGGATCAAGTCTGTAGTCTTCATGTTTTGGAAAACTTCAAGTACATTTGTTTGTTTTTTCTGCCCGTCCTCCCTCCAAAAGCAGAATGATTAATACAAAAAGAAGGAGCAGGGTGCTCCTGTTATAAAATAGTAGACCTGACTTTCTGTGAACAGCTGTAGTACCAGAGGGCTGGAAAACTGTACTTTGGTCAGACAGATTTTTGGTAGGAGAAATGTTTTCCCTTGTTCTAGGGAAAATCAATTTTAATTTGGCCAAGTGATGAGGTTAAAGCTTGTAGCAAGGATGTGTAGCAGATTATAACCATTTCACAGCCTGGTCAGCTTCTCCCAGGTCGCAGGGAAAGAAGTCCCACTGATTCAGCTGAAGTTACAATCTGTGTCTGCTTCGTACAATTGAGTCTTCTATGAAGATCTCTAAAGTGACCAAGATAGCTCTCAAAGTAGCACAATTACTGTGTTCTCAGCTGGAGTGAATTAGTCCTTAAAAAACCAGGGCTTTTTCAATTAGCTGCTGTGCCATGCAAGTTTATGGTGTTTCCATAACTTTTTGAAGATATCTCAGGGTTCATCAGTGCTATACATGATTGTATGTGCATTGGACATCTATGGATCTTTGTGCTGCAGGAAATTGTACTACACAACGGTCTCATCTGGAGAACTGTGAAATATTTTCTTCTGGTCATCATGGAGAGGCATAGGAGCACTGCCTGAACTCTCAATTAATTTGATTTTAGACTGGGAGAGCTTTTGACCAGAGAGAACGTAAAACTCAGTGTAATACATACTTCCAAAGGAATAAAAAAAATAAAATCTAAACCACTATTAAACTCAAGTGAGGGACTTGTTCGGTGAATAGCAGACCTGTTGAGATCAGTACCTATGTAAAAGTATATATATTTATTCTGCAGTGTGGTCATAGATACCCAGGGAGAGCATTTTTTATATTCAAGGAGTTTACATTCAACATGTACTCAATTTAATGGAATCATGTTTAAGGAGAGGAATCTCCTCAGAGGAGAATTCCCTTTTCTTTTTCATTGACAAATTTCTTAACAGTGGCTTGGAATCACAATCTTGTCCTAGTGACTAACCACTCTTCCTCCTGCTTTTGCACATATAATAGAGCCATTGTAAACCATTGCAACTTTCATTAATCACAACTTTTGAAAATATATGTATAGCGAGGATACACGATAATATACTCATGAATATTCCACATAGTGTTAAGAAAGAGAAAGTATTTGGGAACTGATTTAGTGAATTACTTCAGTAGTGATTATGTTTCGGAAAATATGAAAATCTTTATGCCAATGGACGTTTCACACACCTTTTCTCTTATTAGCAATGATGACAGCATTTGCCTGTGGTAGGCAAAATTGCAAAAGCAAGCTTGGATGCCATTAAATTAGGAGTTCTAAATTGAGGCTACACTTATCTATAGCCTTAACCAAGCAAACCAGTATAACTGGAGCAGAAGGAACAGACAAAATGGATATTTGTAGACGGAGAGGTAGGCAAGTGCAGAGGATTATTATGGTGCACAGGGGAAACATGATCTTTAATTTATACATATGCCTTTACTCACTAATTGATATTTGCCATACAGAGAGAATCCTGATTCAACCAAGAACTGAGCTCAGGTTTTCATTTTTCCATTTAGAGCTTTAACTCCAGGTCATTCTTCCTGTGAATTAGTTGTGGTAAATTACTACTTTGCTGGTATGAATCAACACAAATACTAGTAACATCTAAATGTAAGTTCTGTTATCAGTAAGATCGATTGTGTCTAAAGTGTAGTTCCTCCTCACGTCTTTCAAGTTTTGTTTATACTATCTGGGAATGGTCTCAAAATGGTTTTCCAAAAATAGTTTTAAAGGACATTTTTAAATACTGCTTTTTGGGACACTAGTAGGAGTTTAGGCGAGATTTGGGAGAACTCCAACTTGGATTTAATACCAATGTAATATCCTCATTACAGTAATGCAAAGATTGCTTCAACAAGGCAGGAAGTCAGGATTCAAGATGCCAAAATACTCAGCTGGTTGAAAACTGGCAGAGCTCCACTGACTTCAGTGGATTACACTG